AAGTAAGAAATATTCCAAGGAAGTTTTTCACCATTCCCGGTGGAAGCTTGATTGGGATAATTCAAACTTTGATTTGCTAGGAATAAAATTTTCAGTTAATCTGGAGGAAATGCTTGAATTAAATTACATGTTAAAATTAAATGATATTAAAAAACTCCTATGTAGTTGGAGTATGAGGAAACTTACCCCAGTTGGTAGATTAACAGTAATTAAAACTCTTATAATACCAAAACTAAATCATCTGATTCTTACACTACCAAATCCTAAACCTGAATTTCTAAAAATGTTTGAGACAGAGTTGTTTCTTTTTCTATGGAATAGTAAAATACATAAAATAAAGAAAAAATGTTATAATTCAGGACTATAAATATGGAGGGCTGAAAATGGTAGATTACACAGAATTTATTTCTGCACTTAAATCAAGTTGGGTTAGAAGACTCATTCATTCAGATGCAAAATGGGTAAAGTTGTTTAAAGCTGAACTAAAAACAGACATTGAAAACATGTGGATAAGGGGCTCAGATTACATTTTAAACTTAGCAAAGAATTTAACAAACAATTTTTGGAAAGAGGTCTTTAATTCCTGGGTAAGACTTATAAATATAAACCAAGAAAACAAACATGTGTTATTAGAACATATATGGAATAACACACATATAATGATTAATAGAAAATCTTTTTTCTGGAAATGCTATTTTGAGGAAGGCTTTGTCTTTTTAAATGACCTTTTCGATAATGATGGTAACTTTTTAAGCTTCAATACCATAGTAAACTTAAAAGTGAAAACAAATTTTGTTGAATATAATGGTCTTAAGAGGGCTATATTAAAAAGACTGAAGTATGCAGGAATAGAGGACATTAAAAGATTAAAGGTTATTGGACCAAATATTCCACATTCAACTTTCATTTTTTATAGAAGTAATAAAGGGTGTAAAGATATGTATAAAATATTTATAAATAACAAGAGAGAGCCAATCAGTTCTCTTTTAAAATGGAATGAAAATAATGTTTTCTTTGATGAAGCTGATTGGAATAAAATATTTGAACTTCCTTTCAAAGTTACTCACGAATCCAAATTTCACTGGCTCCAATTTCAAATATTACACAGAATTATTCCAACAAATTATTATCTTTTTAAATTGAAGCTGATTGACTCACCAGCCTGCACTTTTTGTTTAAGTGACTTAGAAACAATTGACCACTTGTTTGTAGAATGTTTCAAAGTAAAAGATTTATGGTGTAGGATTGAAGAATGGGTTTTTGACAAATTTGAGATGCATTGTAGTTTTGATAAAATATCAATACTTTTTGGTAAATATGAGAACAGGAATATTTGTAAATTACAAAACTTGATTATACTTACTGTAAAGCAATTTATTTTTGCAAGTAAATATAAAAGTATTCCAAAAGTAAGTATCGACATCCTAATAAAGAGGATTATAGAGAAAATTTTTATGGAAAAGGTGTTGTTATTACAAAGTTGCAAATATATGGAATATGAAAGGCAGTGGCAAAAAATCTGTGATGTACTTTGAAAAAAAAAATCATTTGTTTTTATGGTAAAATGTTATTATATGCTAATTTTAAGGATTTACATTAGCTAATTATAAACATTTGAATGCATTTTTCTACTACTGCTGACCCCCCCCCTTTTTTTAAATAAAATAAAATAACTTTCACGTATACAAGTAAACTTTGTACTGCTGTAAAGTAATGAAATTATGAAGACATTTACCGTGTATATGTGTTTATATGCTTTGCTTATATATATATGTATAGTCTGCCTTGTGTACTTGTGAAAGTCAATTAAAAAAAAAAGTTAGATTATTTGCATTATTTAAATATTTTTCACATTAAAATCGAAACATTTTAACATGTTCAAAATAAATAGGATCTATTTTACGTCTCTGATAAGATCAGGATCAAACAAGAGACGATAACCTGAAATCAAAAATTAAAATAACTCCTAAAATAGGGGAAAACCTAGGAATCTAAGTAGAAAAACATTCAAAAAGTATAGTTTAATTGCATTAGATTATTAAATTTTACAAGCGTACTCTAAAGTACACTATCATACTAGCGTACTCTGTTTAGTAGGACGTACCGCAGAATGCACGAGCCGAGCATGCGTATTCCAGGATTTGGACTAACGTAGTTGCTAGCACTCGAGAGCGCTAGCAATAAAAGTAACACTCTCAAGAATTTTCTTTGCAAAAAATAATGAAATTTAATTATAACTAGATATCATTGAGATGGTGGCCATCTCAAAGGGCCCCGCGTTCAACAATGAACATGAAAATGTAAGGTCGTTTAAAAGGGATTTTTTTGAAGAGGAACATTTGTGTTATACAGTAAAAGTCATTTAGTACGACTTCACGGATACTGCAAATTTACTAATATTTATCGAAGTTATCTTGTATCCCAAGTTATATAAATTTACTGGAATTAAAGGCAAAGAATTATGCACCAAACAAAGATTTTAAACAGAAAGGGTAATTCTGACCATGACCTAGAAACTTCGACCAAGGTCACTGCACATCCATTGACCAGTGGATCTCTATGAGTGAAGTAATAGTCAGATTGGGCAAACAAAAGAGACGATATACTCTGGACTAGGATTTTTAATATCATTCTGCTATGACCTTGACCTTTGACCTAGAAACCTGGTTCAAGGTCACTGCATTCTAGTTACCCAAAGACACTCTCTGGGTGAAGTATGAGGCAGTTTGGGCCAAGGAGAGAGAAGATATGCTCCAGACAAGGATTTTTCATATAATTCTGCTATGACATTGATCTTTAACCTAGATACCTGGTTCAAGGTCACTGCACACCGGTTACCCAAAGGCACTCTGTGGGTGAAGTATGAGCCAGATTGGGCCAAGGAGAGAGAAGATATGCTCCGGACAAGGATTTTTCATATAATTCAGCTATGACCTTGACCTTTGACTTAGAAACCTGGTTCAAGGTCACTGCACACCGGTTACCCAAAGGCACTCTGTGGGTGAAGTATGAGCCAGATTGGGCCAAGAAGAGAGAAGATATGCTCCGGACAAGGATTTTTCATATAATTCAGCTTGGACCTTGACCTTTGACCTAGAAACCTGGTTCAAGGTCACTGCACACCGGTTACCCAAAGGCACTCTGTGGGTGAAGTATCAGCCAGATTGGGCCAAGGATAGAGAAGATATGCCCCGGACAAGAAATCTCGGGCGGACGGTTAAGCTATGACCTTGACCTTTAACCTAGATACCTGGTTCAAGGTCACTGCACACCGGTTACACAAAGGTACTCTGTGGGTGAAGTATGAGCCAGATTGGGCCAAGGAGAGAGAAGATATGCTCCGGACAAGGATTTTTCATATAATTCAGCTTGGACCTTGACCTAGAAACCTGGTTCAAGGTCACTGCACACCGGTTACGCAAAGGCATTCTGTGGGTGAAATATGAGCCAGATTGGGCCAAGGAGAGAGAAGATATGCTACGGACAAGGATTTTTCATATAATTCAGCTATGACCTTGACCTTTGACCTAGAAACCTGGTTCAAGGTCACTGCACACCAGTTACCCAAAGGCACTCTGTGGGTGAAGTATGAGCCAGATTGGGCCAAGGAGAGAGAAGATATGCCCCGGACAAGAGATCTCGGACGGACGGACAGCCGGACGTACAGACGGACGGACGGACAGACTGATCACTATAGGGCGCCCGCTTAGCGGGGCCCTAAAAAAATTCTTATAAACAAGCAAAATTTAAATCACGACAACGCCAAAGATCTTAAATTACATGTATCTCAACATAACTTTTCTGACTGATTTTCTGCCATGCAAAGAAATCTCGTCCAGTTTTCCGCAGTGTTGTCCCAGAGTCAACAAAAGTGTAATTGATGCAAATCACCCATATTCCCCAAACGCTGGTAAGACAATTTACGGCAGCAGATTTCGAGAGGGAGGATCCTAGGTTTTCAGCTTTCTTAGATACATATGCAAGAAAAATAAACTGGATACATTCCACCATTTGTTTCTATCATTGATATTTTTTTACGTTTTCTAGATAAGTGACTAGGTTAAAGTTTTTGGAGCAGGTCCATTCCCAAGGAACTATAAGCTTGCCATACCTGGACCAAACTTACATGGATGACTGCATCTAGGAATGGACACTACCATACTTGCTTCAGATGCTGGATCTGACCTATATTTTCCAGATGAGTGATCAGGTTAAAGTTCCTTCCCAAGGAACTATAAGCCCTACCCAGACCAAACTTGCATGGATGATGCATCTAGGGATGGACAATACCAGACTTGCTTCAGATGCTTGATCTGACCTATATTTTCATCCCAAGTAACTATAAACCCTACCTTATTAATTCTTGTTTCAAGACCTTTCATTTGATAACAAGAACTTTGACCTTGGAGTTTGACCTACTTTTAAAAAAAATTACCATGGCCATAACTTCTAATCAGTTAGGGCTAGGGTTTCCCTACTCTACATAAGTATTTATGTGACATTAGACTTCTCACTGGATGTCAATTACCTTGACCTTTTGACCTTGACCTTGGAGAATTTTATACTTATATTAAACTTAAACCTGAACATTTACTTTCAAATTTAACACTTTTTTCCCAGTGAGAATACCCTATTTTTTGTACCAATCAATCACATTTGCATTTAAGAAAAGTTTAATCTTTGCTATGTTGCTGTACGGGGGCATCAATGTTTCCCAAACATATCTTATATGAATTAAGCAGTAGTTAATTAACAAAGATAACAAAGACTTCAGGGCAACACACGCTATTACTTGGCAGTGCTTGCAATAGCAAACTTTCTAGTTTGTATTTCCAATTTTATCTAGCATAGTTTTGTTAAGAAGTATCTTCAGATATGGTCCATATTTCAAAGAGCTTCTGCACACCATACAAATTGCTAGAGCATAAACTCTTTAAGCCCAATGGCTTAGATAAGCATATAAAAAAAATAAATGGTAAAACACTTTTAAAAACACTTTATTGAATATTTTTATATTCTATTGAATAATACTCCTCTTACACCATGTACACATTAACCTAATGTATTATCATGATTATGAACCTGTTTATTAACATTCATGATAAAGGTTAAATACCACTCGAGTGCATTTTTACCATGTGGCGACTCAAAGAATGTTTATGCATTACCTTACCGCATTTATCACAAGCTATCCTCATCAGTCCTCGATGGAGGTCTTCATGATTCTGAAGATTCGATTGACTGATGAAAGTTTTTTCACAAGTGTTACATTTAAGTCGAGCATGAGAATTTTTCTCATGACTAGTTGAGTGCATTTTTAACATGTGGCGCCTCAAAGAATGTTTATGCATTACCTTACCACATTTATCACAAGCTACGTTCATCAGACCTTGATGGAGGGCTTCATGAGTTCGAAGACACATTTTATTGATGAAAGTTTTTTCACAAGTGCTACATCTAAGTCGACCATGATTATTTTTCTTTTTTACATGGTTCTCTTCTGATTGACTGCCATTGGTCTTATGTTTATGTTTGCTCAATTTGTGACTTTCATATCGCAACCTTTCACAAAAGCCCTTTCCGCAATATTCGCAAACATAAGGTATGTCTGAAATTTGTGATTTTGTTTCCAAACTCAAATCATCATGGATTCTGTGCCTTACCATATGATGTCGAAAACAAGACTTAACAAGAAGTTTACCACAAATCTCACACAGAATCTTGGTAGAGGAATCATGGGTATTCATGTGCAGAATTCTGGCAAACCTACTGCAAAATCTCTTCCCACAAATCTCACAGAGAAATGGCTTTTCTCCAGTATGTAATCTTTTATGATCTATGAGTCTCCATTTGGATTTCAAGATCTTCCCACACACATCACAAGGAAACTTCCCAGGCTCATGTGTCTGCTGATGTAGTTTAAGAATATATCTTTTTTTGAATGTTTTTGGACACTTATCACATGCAAATGTTTTTGTTCTCATTTTTGAAAAATGTGTATCTCTGTGTTCACAAAGGGAAGAGGTGAAAACAAAGGCCTTTTCACACAAATCACATTTATATGGTTTTACAGTGCTGTGCAACAGTTTCAGGTGCCTTACATAGGTAGATTTTTGCGTGTAGGATTTCTGACAACTATCACAAAAATAAGACTCCTTTACCTTCTTCCGGACTTGTTTTTGAGCTGAACCCTGGAAATCTACGTGCACTGCATCTTTAAGCTTTCTATCCCCTTGCTTATTTTGTGCCACTGTCGTATCAGAGTTCAATTTTAGATTGCCCCATAATGTTTGACACTTATTACACATCAAGTTTTTTGGAAACTGTGTTTCTTCAAATGTTTCTTCCCGAACTGGCTGCTTACAAAAAATGCAAACAAACGATACTTTAACACAGTTACTTCTTTCTTTGTGCTGTGCAAATGCCTCCAAGTTGGAAAAGAGTTTACCACACTTCTTGCATTCAGGTACTTTGGTTCGAACGACTCGTACAGTTTTGACAACTTCTTCTTCCCTCTCATACGTTGCTAAGTTAGCCTCTTTCATTCCAGCTTTAGGTTTATCGCAGCTGATACCATGAACAAATTTCAGATGTGCAAATGCACTCATTTTGCAAGAGAAAATCTTTTCACAATATCCACATTTTATGCATTCGCTTTGGAGTCCTTTGTGTTGTCGAACATGCCTCTGAAGGACTAAAGGGTCACTGAAAGTCTCTTGACAAATTCCACACTTATAAAACTTGTAGCCCATTTCTTCCATTTTATCTTTGGTGATGCTTTTCTCTTTGATAATTATTTCGTCTGTTATGAAACATTCTTTTGAACTTTTCTAAAACATAAAAAAAATCCTTACTTCATTTGCCTAATGAACAATTTATGAATCAATTCATGTATTGGAAAAGGTAACCAGAAGCCATAATGTTTACACGAGTTCTATTGGTCTTGTTCTTTATTATCCTAAATAAATACTTTTTATAGTTTGACAATTTCTACCCAATGCTAAGGTCTCACTTTAGCCAAATAAAGTCCTAACATAACAACCTAAATCCACATATTCTGGAGATGCATCAATGTAAAACGAATACAGGTACATGTACCACACAGAAAAAGTATTTCTAGCTTCTATTTTTGTTATATTTATCATGATTGTTTATTTAATATCTATTATCAAATGAAAATTTCATTTCAATATACATTTTATACATGATAAACAGCCCTAATAGACTTGCATTGAAAGTCTGAACAATGTGAAATATGACTATATGTGCTAGATAATTCAAGCTAAATGAAAGTACATATAGATAATTCAAGCTAAATGTAAGTACATATACCATGTATACAATAGCTACCTGTAAATTAAATTAAGGTGATATTCAAGTGTTGTTAAGTGCTTTTTGGGCTGTGTCTACATATTATATTTACATATTGAAACAATTTGATATGAAACATGTTAAACAAGAGGCCCATGGGCCACATCGCTCACCTGAGAAGGGTTGACCATTCTGTTCCTTACCAGATTTCCCCCTAGTTATACATAATGCATCATAATCCTACCCAACCTATCATAATTGAGACATTTTGAAATCTACACTACCCTATGATCCTTCCATGGGCACATATGTTTCAGCTTTTTTGGCCTAATGGTTCCTGAGAAGAAGATTTTCCCAAAAAAAAATTCCTATATCCCGGTATTTCTATGTGAAACTTTGATTCCCTATAAAGGCCCCACCCTTCCCCTGGGGTCATGATTCCTAAAATTTAGAATTTACACTACCCCAAAATGCTTCCACATAAGATTCACTTTTTCTGGCCCAGTGGTTCTTGAAAAGAAGATTTTCAAAGATTTTTCCTATATATTTCAACATAAAACTTTGATTCCCCATTGTGGCCCCGCCCTTCCCCGGAGGTCATTTTTTTTAACAATTTAGAATCTACATTATACCAGGATGCTTCCACACAAGTTTCAGCTTTTCTGGCCCAGTAGTTCTTGAGTTCAAGATTTTTCCTTTATATTTCTATGTAAAACTTTGATTCGCCATTATGGCCCCGCCCTTCCCCCCGGGGGTCATGATTTGAACAATTTAGAATCTACACTTTACCAGGGTGCTTCCACATAAGTTTCAGCTTTTCTGGCCAGGTGGTTCTTGAGAGAAGGTTTTCAAATATTTTTCCTATATATTTCTATATAAAACTTTGATTCCCCATTGTGGTCCTGCCCTTCCCCTGGGTGTCATGATTTGAACAATTTAGAATCTACATTATACCAGGATGCCTCCACATAAGTTTCAGCTTTTCTGGCCCAATGGGTCTTGAGAAGAAGATTTTCACAGATTTTTCCTATATATTTATATATATGTAAAACTTTGATTCCCCATTGTGGCCCCGCCCTTCCCCCAAGGGTCATGATTTGAACAATTTAGAATCTAAACTACCCCAAGATGCTTCCATCTAAGATTCAGCTTTACTAGCCCAGTGGTTCTTGAGATTTTTTAATGACCCAACCCTATTTTTGCCTTTTCTTGATTATCTCCCGTTGCGAGGGGATATGTTCCTTAATTTCAACAATTTAAATTCCCCTTTATTGTCACACAATTGGACCATACCGTACATATAAATAAACTATATATTAACTTTTTAATATATATATTAACTTTTTAATATTTGTTGTGTTTCGTATATTTGATTAATAAGGACATATGTGTATAAGGCATAATAATCCTTATATGTCTTTGAGAGCCATTTGGGTTCTTACGCACTTTATTTCTATTTACTAATTATGTGTTGAATGTAGTCAATATTGTTGTAAATATTAATGTGAATTATTATTGGTCAGTGTTGATGAATTATCACAATTAGGTCAAAGATCAATATCTGAGCATTTACGTGGTCAGTATCTATTATTGGTATCTAAATAATTAAACGTATTGGAAAATGACTTGATAAAATTAATTGACCCCAATCGGAATTGTAATTGAACACTTGATTAAATCTGCAAGTGAAGATATATATTCGGAGACTGGACGGGCGGAAGAGAGATCTAGAGAGAACGAGAACTTTATACAAACGTTTCACACGTACCACTATACGAACTTTGTGCCCCCCTGTACTAGTTACTAGTTTGGCTTCCAGTGGATATACCAAGTACTAACTCTATAATATTTTAACTGTACCAGTGCTGACAACATTGTTCTAACTGTATATGCATGAACGTTTATGTTGTGCAACAGTGACATAATAAATGTATATATAACCGTATCCAAAGTCGTTGTGTTATAGACGTTCATTTGGTGCCGTGACCAGGATTTTGATTCGAACGGGTGACCACTGGTTTGAAAACTGTGAAAATTTAATGCTTGTGACCAGGAATATCGAAATTCTCCATGATCATTTTAATGTCAATGACCAAGGCCATGCGAAGTATAACTAAAATGTCGAACGTGGAGGGAAAATGTGGCAAGGTAGGACGTAACTTTCTGACCCAGAAGTATCTATAGCATGACCAAGTTTTGATATTAAAAAAAAGAAGATTAATTTTTAGAAAATAGGTTTGGCTTATTGTTTTGGATTCTCTTAATAGATAATTCTGACTTATGAAACAAATGATTTTAAAAATGAAGAAAGATTTGAAATTTTGTGGAAAGAAATTCTTTCATCATTCAGTGTGCATTAAATTCTTTGCTCTAAAAAATGTATAAGACTGATTCCAAAAAAAAAAAAATCATCATTATCTTGAAAATGAATTTCTAAACACAAGGAATGCATTTAATCCTATTGTACATATGTAGTGATCATAACTGATGATAGTTCGCTTCTAATCAATGTTGTTTATAAAAAAAAAAAAATTAAGCAATATCTTGTAATGAACAGGCAAGAGAAAATGGTAATGAAGTTCACGTCAGATTTACTGTCTCATTTTTTTAAATGTTGAACTTGACTATTGACTAGATTTGGTTTGAAGTTATTACACAAATTTTAACAAAAGTGCAACACTAAATCAAACATATTAGGGTTTATTGTGGACTAAATTTGAGGCATATGACGTTGGTCTGAAACCAAGGACGATGAATAACGTCTGACCCAGTGTTAATGGGCCGTCATAAATGTTTGTGCTAATTCTGACTTCAAATCGCTGCGAGGATGCGATTGTAAAAGAGGATAGTACCGTTTTTATGTTTTAAAAGAATATTGACTGTGAATATCATAATTCGTGGAAATGAGGAACACGACAGGTGATAGCAGTCCTTTGAAGATACTTACAAATGAAGAAAACGTTGGACACTAATGATATTTACTGATTTGTGTTGTACTTTTGAACAAATTTACCAAAACTGAATACATGTAAATCAATTACAAATTCTGACGTTGGAGAACAAAAACTCTATTAATTCGGACTTAACTATTGGACTCAAATTTAAACTCAAAAGTATGGGATCCGGATACACTGGTGATTTCTAATTTGAAGGGCGATGCTACCACCTGGAGTGGTGATAATTGCACTCCGTCATCTATTAATCCTTTATCTCAAACTAGGAGTTGGCCAAATTGGGTTTATTTTATTTTAATATTCATATTTATTATCTATTATAAATGCAAAAGGTGTTGGTCAAGTAGATTTTGGCAAAAGGTTAGGAAAGCAGGCGGAAAGAAGGAACAAACTGAAATTGGTGGCGATTTAATCCCCTAGTGAAGATACCACTAGCAGACACAATATTGCATCTGCACCATCACCGACTACTGTTCTCATCGCTGGAGTTGACTCTGTCGAAACAATTACAAAAAAAAAACTTTATCCGAAACTGAGGACAGATATCCTTACAGTTAAAAATGACGACCCCGCTGCATTGTAAATGAACTCTTGTGTAAGTCGATCCCTCTTTCGAATAAGAGCCGAGGATTGTGAATATTGGACAGTCTGTTGATTTCGAAACTAATGTTTAATGAAACATATATTACTGTGTTGTTCGTATCCAGGTGGAGGAAGACTTTATTGTCTCGTAAACTATGTGTTGTAACTATTTAACCATTCCTTATATTACTTCTCGTTTAACATGATGTACCTTTAAAGACGAGGGAGAATTACATTATGCCGATACTTACAAACCAAGAAAAAATTCACAAGTTCAAATTCCAACGACTATGAATTAAACTAATTCATCTCTTGTGAGGGAGGAATGTAACACAATTGGACCATACCGTACATATAAATAAACTATATATTAACTTTTTAATATATATATTAACTTTTTAATATTTGTTGTGTTTCGTATATTTGATTAATAAGGACATATGTGTATAAGGCATAATAATCCTTATATGTCTTTGAGAGCCATTTAGGTTCTTACGCACTTTATTTCTATTTACTAATTATGTGTTGAATGTAGTCAATATTGTTGTAAATATTAATGTGAATTATTATTGGTCAGTGTTGATGAATTATCACAATTAGGTCAAAGATCAATATCTGGGCATTTACGTGGTCAGTATCTATTATTGGTATCAAAATAATTAAACGTATTGGAAAATGACTTGATAAAATTAATTGACCCCATTCAGAATTGTAATTGAACACTTGATTAAATCTGCAAGTGAAGATATATATTCGGAGACTGGACGGGCGGAAGAGAGATCTAGAGAGAACGAGAACTTTATACAAACGTTTCACACGTACCACTATACGAACTTTGTGCCCCCCTGTACTAGTTACTAGTTTGGCTTCCAGTGGATATACCAAGTACTAACTCTATAATATTTTAACTGTACCAGTGCTGACAACATTGTTCTAACTGTATATGCATGAACGTTTATATTGTGCAACAGTGACATAATAAATGTATATATAACCGTATCCAAAGTCGTTGTGTTATATTATCCAAAGATGCTTTGTACCAAGTTTGGTCAAAATTGGCCCAGTGGTTCTTGAGAAGAAGTAAAAAATGTGAAAAGTTTACAGACGGACAGACAGACGGATGGACGACGGACAAAATGTGATCAGAAAAGCTCACTTGAGCCTTCAGCTCAGGTGAGCTAAAAATACTTTACAATATTGAAAAATTAACTTTCAATTATAATTATGTATTGGAAAGGCAGATATCCTTATGATTTGTTTGAAAAAAAAATAGGAAATTTCATTTCAAAGTTTAAATTAGTTATTGTGTACACTGTTGTTCAATTACATGTCAAGTACATGCACATAAAAGAATGAACATGATGAAAGTTATTTTAACCTTTGTTATATGATAAAACATAACTTGGAGCAGTTAACTCTTTTTTAAAAGCATCGGTTGACAATGGTTTTTCTTGGGGTGCCAATTTCAACTGTTACCCTCCAAAACAGGCACCATTTATATAATGTATAAAGATATGAAACACGTACCGTAACATGACTACTTTCAACCTGTGGTTCTCCTCTTGGTCCAGAAGACTGAACCTCATCGATAATCATGGGACTTTCTTCCACTTTTACTTCAGTTTTTATTTCTGTTGGTGGATCCAAGTTTGGGACTGTTGTTGGATCCAAGTTTGGGACAGGTGGTGGATCCCCTTTCTGAACAGGTTGAAGAATAACCGAAAATCTCTGCTCTGTAACCTCTACATCTGCTGGTAAATTTGTTTTTGAAGTGTTCCCAGACAATGTTTTGTTCTGAGACTCTGTGCCTTGTGAGGGTGTACTGCTGGTTGTTGTTATGTTTTTCTTGAAACAATTTGTGGTGATATCCTGACTGTTGGGTACCACGGAGGCTTCAGTGGCATTTAAAGCTTGCTTAGGAAGTAAACTATTCTGAATATTTTTTAGCTGATTTAGACTAACCGCACTTAAAACAGTTACACCATTGTTCAGAACTTGGGAATTGCAAACGGTTGTTTTGTTCATAGCACTTGGTTTAGAGATAGTATCCACTGTGTTTTGGTGAACAGGCATTTGACTTGGTACCTTGTCATTAATGTTGACAAGAACTGGGTTGGACAGTGTGGTAGCTTTGGTTTGAGCTTCTCTCCTAGAATTTTCAGCATTCTTTGCATTGGTTGTTGATGAAAGCACCATATTTTTAGGAACCTGTACCAGACACAAATTTTTCACAGGATAAATCACAAAAGGAAATTTAAGCTGTGAAAGGTTGTTCATGTTCACACTAGGCTGAAGTGACTGATTAATTCTGAGGTTGTTGGTGTTAAAAGTAGGCAGAGAGGCATGTTGTGTCTCAATGCTATCTGTATTCACACTAACCAGGGATGTCTGCTGATGAGCTCTAAGACTCTCTGTGCTCACACTAGGATTGGTTGAATTATGTGTCTGAGGACTGCTTATGTTCACAATTGGCTGGGATGACTGACGCTCTCCAAGGCAGTTGATGTTAAAAGGGGCCTGTTGGATTTTTGTGCTGTTCATGTTCACACAAGTCTGAGTGATTTTATTGGTTAAAAGGCTTTTAAATCTTCTACTTGGTGTATTAGCTGTAGGCTGGGTAGAATGAAGCCCTGGGCTGTTTGTGTTCTCTATATGATCACTTATTGTTGCAGGTGAACTTGGAATGTTTTTCAAGCCTTTCTCTAAATCATTTAGGGAAGCACAATGCTCACTTGCTTGCAATTGACTTTGATTCATGAGTGGAGTTTGGTTATCTGAAATCCTGGTCTCGTCAGAACTGTAGTTTTCACCTGAAGCAGAAGCTGAACTAGGTTGAATTCTGGGAACATTTTTTAGTTTGAAATCATTCAGTGGATTGAGATTTTTCATTCTGCTGACAACTAATTCCTGCAACTTGTTCTTAATGGTGGGTACCAAATTGGTAGACTGAGGGGTGGATTCATCAGGCACTTCCTTGTTTATTTCACTGTTAGAACAAGTGGCCATTATAATTTTTCAGCAAGTCCAAATAGTATACAATCTATCTGATTTCACTAATGGGTATTTTGTTTCTTTTGAGTTGGACATGAAGTTGTAATCCTGTCTTTCTTCATGTTTCAAGTTATATGCCATTGTCCATTATACTGACAAAGAAATCAGTCCAAGAAATTTAACGTCATGATATGGTTTCATCAGGAAAACAGCACCAAAACTAGAAAAAAAAATACATTAGATAATTGTCAAGTGTAAATGCTTTAGCAACACTGTCAAAAAGAGTATCTCTTTAGTTTTAAAAATGTTTAAAAACAGACAAAAGTTTCCCCAGTGAACTCTCATTCTATTTTTATGCATGCTTTGATTCGTTACATCGACATGTGATTCATTGTGTAGGCAACAGGGCCAGAGGAGGAAGGGAAATGTGTCTTGAAGTTAATATGTTGATTGTGCAACCCTTAGGGCAAGCGAAAATATTTATTCAGTTGCCACTAGTCTGTGGGCTAGTGCTTGAAATATTTTTGATTGCACACCCTTGTATCCGTTGAGATTTCATCTTTTATAAACATGATAAAATGACCTTTCCCCAAAGTACATACAAGAGGTAGGCCTAGTTTTTAAATTATTTTTTCAAATCATTCAATAGTGATGAAACTATTGTTGCTGATGATCAATTGTTGATCATTTTTGGGTGTTCGATTCCGATTATCGATTACCATTTTCTTAATCGTTTGTTGTCCAAAACATATGTAATCAAAGATTACGAAGCTCACCTCGACGAATGTTATCAGTTTTAAGTAATGCAAATCCTACAACAAATTTTCTTAATATTTAGTATTCATCCTAACAACAATATTCTTGCAAGTTGTGCTTTACCCTCTACATGGCATATACACATTTCTATGCATTTAGTGTGAAAAACATGTATTGTGTAAACAAATATTCATAACTGTTAAAACTGCAGATATCAAAGACTTCAAGTTCATTCAGATTGATCTGTTCCCAAAACTTAAACCTGGTCTCTTGTATGGAAAATACAGGTCAGATCTAGCATCCAAAGCAAGTCTGATAGTGTATGATCCCTAGGTTCATCATCCATGCAAGTTTGGTTCAGGTAGGGTAGGATGGACACTATTAGACTTGCTTGGGATGCTGGATTCGACCTATATTTTCCATACAAGAGCCCAGGTTAAAGTTTTGGGAACAGGTCAATCCGAATGAACTTGAAGTCTTTGATATCTGCAGTTTTAACAGTTATGAATATTTGTTTACACAATACATGTTTTTCACACTACATGCATAGAAATATGATGTAGGATTTGCATTACTTAAACTGATAACATTCGTCGAGGTGAGCTTCGTAATCTTTGATTACCTATGTTAATTCCTTGGGAATTGACCTGCTCCAAAAACTTTAACCTGCTCCAAAAACTTTAACCTGGTCACTCATCTCGAAAATGTAGGTCAGATCCAGCATCCGAAGCAAGTCTGGTAGTGTACATCCCTAGATGCATCATCCATGCAAGTTTGGTTCAGATAGGGCTTATAGTTACTTGGGAATGGACTTGCTCCTAAAACTTTAACCTGGGACGCCGACGCCAACGCCGGGGTAATAGCATAAGCTCATCTCGACTTCGTCGAGGTGAGCTAATAAAATTGTATGATTTGAATGAAACATAACAATATATGTAAAGTGAAAAAAAGGTCAACAAAAAGACGTTCGAAGACAATTAACAACAATTAAGTAGAAATTTACCCATATCCAAAGAATGCATAGATAGAATGTATCAAAATGTAGCAAAAGAAACACAGTCAATAACTCAGTGCATTTACTACGGATCATCTAGAGATTTCCGAATGTTAACATGGCAAGTAAATTTGAAGCCAGAGAAAAATGTTGAGAACATTAATTTGATTTTCGTCTTTATATGGATTTTTTTTGGGATAAAAGGCATAAGCAATCGTTTCCAGTGAAAATCCTTTTATATTTTTCAAAATCGTTTAGGAGCGGATACACTCCGATTTGCTACATTTCAAGTATATGGGACGTATTCTAACTGTGATGAGAGCTTATAATGAGACACGAAACTTTAGGAGATTATTCTAACTAGGGAATGTAAAATCTGATGTCATGACAAACATTTTTAGTTTTTATGAGCAAATGTGTAATTGTTTTCTGTTTCTTTGTTACACATACAACAAAAAGTTTTCTTTAGAATAAATTTGATAAAATTTTATTTTTAGTTTGTTCCATAAATGATAAATGCTATAAAGAAATGGAACTTTGTATTTGAAATTTTAATTACGAATTAAGTCGATCATTGATCGATTAAGCATCTCCGATTCTGGCCAGTTATCTATTATGAAATTAACTGTCATTCAAGTAATTTCTATGAGAGGAAAAAATGCTATTCAAATTTCAAAATTGCTAGTAAAAAATTCCACTAAATAACATGGATAAAATTTGCTGTGCGTGGTCAAAAAAGTTAATTTCGATCCCAGGCATGTACATTGGAAATGCCCTATAAATTTATTTTTGACAATAACTTGTTTGCATTTATGCCGTTGAATGGCATTGGTCTTTGATGAAAGATTCTGTTCACAGGGACATCTCATCGGTAGACAGACTACTCGGCCCAACGACACCTCGGCCCGTGCTGGTTGACACCTCGGCCCTGACAGGTCGGCTCAAAATCATTGACACCTCGGCCCATACCGAAGACTGCTCGGCCAATTAGGAATTAAATTAAATTTAGTTCGTTTTAATCAGTTTTTTTTATTTTTTTTTTAAAATGTATACTATATGTATTTTTAATCACTATACATACGTTTACTATAAATACATGCATACAATAATTTCAGTATTTTCTAACAAACCACAGCACAAGATCAAATTACAATCCGTTGACTGGGAGGTAACAGGACTATTTATTTATTGACTTTGTTGTTTATTACATTGCAACATTATACATGATTATATATTATTAATATATTTATTAGCCATTTAAAAAAAAAATGTTTGGTTGCCCTCTTCTGACCGACTGATGAATTTACTAATAATTATATGTGAACCAATAGGTCTACACAGAAGTTTATGTCCTGGTCCACAACATTTATTGATTTGCTAACCCTTGACACACATATCTTAATCAGGTCCAGTCCAAAGACTATTTCTACCTACGTAGCTATTAATAGCTACCTAGGTATTAAAAGCTATATGGTGAATACCACATCGTTTGATACAGTCACACTGATGTTGAATACGACAAAATTTTGGCCAAAAATTGATGACTTCTTGAATCAGCCATTTTATATTACCGTAGTTTCTATGCAAAATTGATAATACATGTATGAGAAGTCATCATTTTTTGGCCAAATTTTTGTCATATCGATCATCAGTGTGTGACTATTAAAAAAAATTTGTGCTCACCATTTTGCGCAGTGCCTGCATTTGGCCACAAAATTCAAGTAAAGCAGAAAGTAGGTAAAAATAGCTACTTTGGGTAGCTTTAAATACCTAGGTAGCTATTAATAGCTACGTAGGTAGAAATAGTCTTTGGACTGGACCTGTTAATGTTTAATTCTAATGCAATTGTTTTGTAAAACACTTTTTCATTGGCTAATGCATTGATGTTTGAAGCAGTAAAACGAGCATTAACGAGCGTGAAAGCTTTTTCATTGTGACGTCATAATAGAGCGACGCAAAAACACAATGCTCCGTGACGTATTTCTGTAACAAAATTCATCAAAATTAGACGTAAACAACAAACAAAATGCATGGATTGCATTAGAATGGGAATAACTGATCTTCTAATTTGGTATTACCGTTAATGCTTTTAACGGTCGCAAAAATCAATTCCACCGGCTATACGCCTCGCCGGTAAATAAATGACCGTTAAATCAGCATTAACGGTCGCAAATACCAAATTAGGAGATAGTTATTCCCTAATTTTAAAAACTCATATTTTTTTCAAACCAATTTAATAATATCAACAATGGTTTCTTAAAGGAACTTTTCATTAACATTAACTCCCAATTATGGCTTCTCGTAATTAACTCCTCGTAGTCACCATGCACTCCCTATGACACGCGCTCGAGACTCTAAAGAATGCACTGCGTCTTCTTGTTTGTTTAATGATTAGCACTTATGATCAAGTTACTAATGGATCGTCTTTCTTTAATTACCGTCAATTTGCCGTCTTGGAAGATTGCAAATGTATCAAATTAATTTACTTTTGCATTTCATAGATATATATAACAACATAAATAATAAATATATTTAATTAAAATAATTAATTTCTGTTTGGACCGAGGTGTTTTTTATGTGAGCCGAGGTGTCTGCAAATTTGGGCCGAGCCATCGGAGCCGAGGTGTCAATGGGCCGAGGTATCGTTTGGCCGAGCAGTCTGACATTCATCTCATTCTCATCTACTTGCCATATTTGGCATGAATGTCATATAAATCGGCCCAACGACACCTCGGCCCAACGACTCCTCGGCCCATTGACATCTCGGCTCCGATGGCTCGGCCCAAATTTGAAGACACCTCGGCTCACATAAAAGACACCTTAGGTCCAATAGAAATATATTATTTTAATTAAATATATTTATTATTTATGTTGTTATATATCTATGAAATGCAGAAGAAAATTAATTTGATACATTTGCAATCTTCAAAGACGGCAAATTGACGGTAATTAAAGAAAGACGAACCATTAGTAACTTGATTATAAGTGTTAATCATTAAACAAACAAGAAGACGCAGTGCATCCTTTAGAGTATCGAGCGCGTGTCATAGGGGGTGTTGACTATGAGGAGTTAATTATGATAAGCCACAATTGGGAGTTAATGTGAATGAAAAGTTCCTTTAATTAAGAAATTAAACCGTTGTTGATATTATTGAATTGATTTGAAAAAAATATGAATTTTTAAAATGAAACATTAAAATATGCGCATTTTTTCTTCGGCGTTAAAACTCTGCCATTAAATGGCTAATAAATATGTTAATAATGTATTAGGCCTATGTTGCATTGTAATAAACAACAAAGTCAATAAATAAATAGACCTGTTACCTCCCAGTCAACGGATTGTAATCAAGTTTGATGTGCTGTGGTTAGTTAAATTAGAAAATACTGAAATTATCGTATATTTATAGTAAACGTATAGTGATTAAAAATACATAGTATACATTTACATTATCATGACAGGGAAAATACAAAAAAAATGATTAAAACAAACTAAATTTTATTTTATTCCTAATGGGCCGAGCAGTCTTCGGTATGGGCCGAGGTGTCAATGATTTTGAGCCGACATGTCAGGGCCGAGGTGTCAACCAGCACGGGCCGAGGTGTCGTTGGGCCGAGTAGTCTGTCTACCTTTGGCATTTCATGTATATAAATAGAAACAGTGTGGATAAGATGCCCCTGTGGCCTGTTGTGTAAAAATTAGAGAATTTTAAAGAGTAACATAATAGATCTATATCAGATCTATATAAATTTAACATAATATATATACAGTGTTCAATGTTGTTGACATTCCGAGAGCAACAGGCGAACAGCTGAGCAGGTCGAGTAGGCGAGTACTGGATAAGGTGATAAAACAAATGAAATAGTTTGTGCTTGAATTACAGCAGTATGGAAACCGAAAAAAGTGTTTCATTTCTGTAAATACATACCTTTATAACAAAAACTCTAAAAAATGTCATCGTAGAGTACTAGACTGGTAGAGGGCTAGAGGTCTTGCAAATCCAAATCCGAAATCGTCCAGTCAACCATTGTCTCATAATATATGGCACGGTATCTCGAACCCGATGATAAACAATCGGCCCTTGGGTTACACCACTCACCCGAATCGGCGTAAAAACTCTGCCATAATTATATTCTGTATTTGAATCAACACTAACCGGGGATTTGTGCATAGTTAATATTATAAATCATGGAATTTCATGAAAAATACACTTGTACGTTATGTAGTAATATATCCCCTCCCCAAATATTTAAAACCATTGGCGCGTCGAAATTTTAACCTGACAAGCAAAAAAAAAAAAAAAAAAAAAAAAGGGAAAATATGTACGTTGTCAAATCACAAACATCCTATTTCGTGGGGAGGGGTTGGGGTAGGGGATAGGTTCTTAAGACTTCTGACGTTCAGTACCGAACTTTATTTCCAAACACTCCCACTTTCCACATTTTAACCTATACTGCAACATGTCTGTGGAAACTGGAAAGGGGGGCGCTTAACCTACGCGGCAATGGTCGATGCCTATACTAAGTCTCCTATTTGGGAAAGTGTGGGGGGGGGGGGTTAACCTACGATCGTTGATGCTAGGCACGTACGTTGCAACGCATATAAAAAGGGAGATGGGGAGGAGAAAACGGAAATATTTTTCGAATAATACAAGTAAAACCTCTAAACTGCACTTCATCGAAAATTCTTTCATGGACAAGTTAAAGTGAGGGCAAGGGAGGGGTCCATTCTCAGATTTGATTCCTCACGTTTTTTTTAAATTGAAATATTTTAAATATTTAGTGTACTGTTAGATACAGGTATCAAGTATGTAAGGGTCTGAGTGATGGTGGAAGTTAAAGATCGGATGGGAATTTAGGGTCTTTGAACGAAAAAAAAATTTCAATGTTAAATCAGCTACATATCTACAATCGTACAGTTTACTGAAAACAAAGGACATGTTCTAGCGCCTACTGATATGGAATTATTTTGAATTTATCTCAATTAAATAAAAAGCATATAAATTTAAAATGCGATGTCGAACAAGTTTTATTTTTCTACCAAGCTTTTTATCAAATAAAGGAAATTATGCCTATATTTCCTAGCTTCCGCAATATGCTTGCAAAAGGGCAGATAATTTTATTACATGTACTTGATTGTTTTCAATGAACTGCATTATATAATTGGCGACATTACTGTTTTTATATTTTTCCTTCATAAAAAAAATGTAAGCAAAAAAAAGTAACGTCAAATTAGTTTTCTAAAACTTCACATAAAATAACGTCATTTTGACGTTACCGAAAATGACACCAACTATGTGCGCAACGTAGTTACCTTTTATATCAACCAAATTAATTAAGTTTTAAAGTGGGAATTTCGGTAGTTTCAAGGGGCATTTCGGTATTCATAATTTTTTGGCACATTTCGGATATTTAATCATATTTTAAAAAAAACTATGTACAAAGTGACATGCAAACATGGTACAATCTCAAGAACTTAACACTGACAGATATGCGTTTTCGAGGGGGATCCCCGGAGGTTTGTCAAACTCCAAGATCACTTTGAGCTTGCTTTTCTACAAGTGTGTAAATTGCGCCCCCCCCCCATTATTCAATATCAAAAGAATTTTTCATCCAATCAGAATCCATTATTTTATAGAAATTAAATGATTAGAGTAAAACCTTACCTCAAACTCGAAGGGGCCCAAAAATAAACCCCTTCAAACCCTCGATATCTCAAATCCTTGGATACCTCCCAAGAAATTCCGGAATTTGAGATATGGAGGATAAAAAGCTTTAAGAAATTCGCACGCCAACTCTCGATTTCCGCCTACATTTTGGAATCATTTAATTCAATATGAATAACAATTTGGCCATAAAATCTTTGTTTGATACAAAGAACAGTTCAATGATAATTGATAAATCGTCTTAATATCAGCGCTAAACAGTAAATTATCCATAATTCCAGCTCTTGAAAAAAGGGGGGTAGACGATATTTTCAATTGAAATCTGTTTCAAGCATCACTGTATTTTGAAATAGTTTTGGATATGATTAAATATTCATTATATCGTTTCGTATGTTTTAGGCAACTAAATAAAACATAAATATTTCAAAAAAATATAATGTTTCAGTTGTATATCGCTTTGAAATTGGTGGAAAATAATCATTTTTATCGTTTTTTGCCAATAAAGATATGCCCCCCCCCCCGGTGTCACACAAAAAGCTTTAGTATGAATTTGTGAAATACAATTCCATATTACCTGTAAAAAGGAATTTTTGTGACAAGGGGGGAAAGATGTTTTAAAAATATTTTCCGTTTTCCATTGATTTCTATAGTGAAAAACACAAGTTTTACCAAAGTTTTAGAGTTATCTGACTTTGTTTTCCCAAATAAGTAAGTAATGTTTATGAAAATTCAAATAATTATCTATAACAAATATCAAAAATTCATTGAATATGTTAACTTTTGAAAATTGAATTGGAGGTAGGCTGGAGAACAATACTATCGTTCGCAGTTCTTTATAATACATGTATTCAGTTGGGACTTTTTCCTTATACCCATGAACATAGAGTGGACAAAGTGCATGCATGATTGTTATAAACAGAGAGAGAGAGGGAGAGAGAGATAGTGCTTGCTCTGTGAACGGAAAGCTGTGAGTTCGAACGCTGTAAATATAAAGATTACCAGCCAGTAGCAAAATGTTTTATTCGTAACACATTTTATTTCATTGAAAAAAAAAGATTATTTTGAAAATATAAGGACACTGTATAATTAAACTATCTTTTTAAATATTGAAAAAATTACAATTGTTTGACAAGTTTCAATTATTCATTCTTCTTATATCAAAGAAATAGAATAAATTGTACTTGTTATATACATTGTTTGATTTTATTTATGAAAAATATACAGACTGGTATTAATTTTTTTTGTGTATTTTCAACATGTGCCTCTTCAAGGATTTTTTATGCATCACCATATTACATTTTTCACAAGTTACTTTCATCTTTCCTGTATGGAGGGCAATGTGACGCCTATAAGTTGAGCTGCAGGAGAATGACTTTCCACAAGTGTCACATATCATTCGTCCCTCAGGAGTTTTCTTGACTTTGTTCTTCTGTTCATGCTTGTTTAATTTGTGTTTTTCGTAGGGTGACTTTTTACAAAAGCCTTTGCCACAAAATTCGCAAACATATGGAATGTTTGCAATGTCGGATCTTTCTTTCGTGCTCACATCATCATGGATTCTGTGCCTGATCTGATGAAGTCGCAATGACGACCCACACTTGATGAATATCCCACAGATCTCGCACAGTCTTTTTCTGGAGGAATTGTGGATATCCATGTGCCGACTTCTGGCCATTTGACTATAAAATCTCCTCCCACATATCTCACAGGGATATGGCCTTTCACCACTGTGTAGTCTCAAATGATCTTCCAGCTTCCACTTTCTCTTCAAAATCTTTCCACAAACATCACATGGAAACCTCCCAGGCTCACGTTTTTTCTTACATTTTTTTAGAAGAGATTTTAAATTGATTGTTTTCAGACATTTATCACAGGCTAATCGTTTGTTTCTTGAGCGAGAGAGTCTAAGGAAAGAGGATAAAACATAAGATTTACCACAAAAATTACATTTCTGTGCTTTAACAGTGTTGTGTGACTGTTTGAGATGCAACTCATCTGAAGATTCTTTCTCATGGGTTTTTTCACAATCCCTCTTCACAGATGTCTTTTGACTAAATCTCACAGAACCTGGATGCAATGCAGCCCCTTTTTTACTTTGCCCAATCATGACTATGATTGTTTTTGGCCTGTTTCCTACTTCCTTATGTTTGCTATTTCTTTCCTCTTTGTCATGTTCATGCTGAGCAAATGACTCTAGATTTGTAATTTTTCTTCCATAATTATCATATTCAGGTATTTTCTTGCAACATTTCTAAAATGAAAAAAAAAAAAATAATTAAAGCAAAGCTTACTGAGTATTTGTCTGAAAATATTTCATGAAACATGTGAAACAGTGAAAGTATTAGATCTATAACCACTCACAAAAGTAAATTCATTTATATTATCCAGGAAATGGCAAGATGTCATTATTATTATTTTTTTTTTTACTAATTCCTTATAATATACATGTATCTTTCATTCATAGAAGACCTTTCATTTGACTAATTCAAACAGAAACCCCTTCACCAAAGATACTTTGTGGCTAAAGCTTAATGGTTAAAATCAATCTAATTGACTTTTGAAAAGAAGTCAATTATAAAAAGTTTACAATTGACGAAGAACATTGTAGACCATCTTTCAAGGCAAAAGGTAATTAAATCTACTTTTAACCTACCTGTTATCTGATATGATTTTTTTTCTCTTCAACCCAATTATGGTAGATTTTTAGACACCTGTTTACACCCAGCTTACCTGTAATGCCTCTAGGCTATTTCCAACCCTTTGATCTTCTCCTATAGAGGGGGAAGACTGGATTTCATTTTCCACTAGGTTTTCCTCCATTTTTACTTGAGCTTTTTCCAATTCTGGCAATGAATCTTGCTCCTGAACTGGTTGAAAAATGACAGGAAAACTCTGCTCTGTAACCTCAAAATCTGCTGGTAATTCTGTTTTTGAAGTGTTCTCAGGTAATGTTTTTTTCTGGGACTCTGCACCTTGTGTGGGCCTGAAGTTGTCTCGTGTTGAATTTTTCTGGGGTGCAGGCCTAATTGGTGTCAATTTTATCTTGAAACACTTTTTGGTTACGGCCAGATTTGCAGCACTGTTTGGTACCAACAAGAGTGGGGCCACTGCATTAGGAACATTTAAAACTTGTTTCAGAAGCCCTGGTGTATGCACATTTACGCAATGATTAAGAGCACCTTGAGGTACACCACTGTTCAGAATTTTTAAGTTGTTGACTGTTGTATTATTTTTAACATTTGAGTTGGAGACAGTAACAGCAGAGTTTTGGTAAAAGGACATGGTAACTGGTGCAATATCAGTACTGTGATTGAGATTGGGATTGGATAAAGTGGTAGTTTGGGTATCAGCTTCTGTCATATGATTT